AAACAACAAACAAAGACCTAAACAGATCTATGTGAACGATAACAACTACTTGAATTAAGTTGTTGATGTGCTAAAAATACTTCTAAACACTATCTGTTTAACAGTCCACAGATAGCAGGCGGAGAGGACAGAGGAACAGAAGGAGAGGGGGAAAGGGAGAAAGAAAGAGAAAGAAGAAGAAATAAAAAACAACATAAAAACTGCTGCCATCGCTTTAAATTGGAAATTTTGAAACCGAATCCTGAACTTATTTTTACACATTAAAAAATTGGCAAAAACCAAAGAACCGTCATAACGGATATGAAAGCATCAAAAAAGCAGCGCGGTTACGGTATAAGGGCCAGTTGATACAGGTGTTGCTTTCCTTTCACCCTGTGTTTACTTATCAACATCCCCATTGTCTAACAACTAAAATAGCCACTTTTTTCCTTTCATTTTTACATTCTTTAGCAATTAAACACAGTTTAGTTGCAAAAAAAAGAAAGGAACAACAGCCAATAGCATAAACAGTAAAAGAAATCGGATAAATTTTGAATACAAATTAGGTATTTGTGTTACTTTTTTGTGCATGTATTTCTGTGTTTGTTTTCAAATATGTACATACAATTGTGAGTTGTCTGTGTGTTCCTCTGTTTTAAATGTTACCCGATATTTCATAGTATTATTCGCCATACATTCAAATAATAACAATGCTTATTTACGAACAATTAATGCCTGTTTCTTTTTCACCTTTTCAACAGAACAGAAGCAACAACGACACCATCACCACCACCACCTCCAACAACAACAACAATAACACTTCGGATGTATTAACCAGAAGCTAAACTGATGGTTTATAATAATTTGTTTCTGCCAAAATTTTTTCCCCCACCAATATCTACCCGTCTCATTTTCCCCAAACAACACAAAACAACAGCAATAATTCATCAACAACTATAGAAAAAAAAAGAAAAAAAAAGAAAGAAAAAAATTATATCTAAATAAAAAAAAAAAAAAACCAGAGAAAAAAGTAAAAGATAAAAGTTATTCATCGGCTGCGTCATTTTATTTATTTGAAATAAGCAACAATTTTTGTTGCTTATTTCCCACTTTCACTCTTCTTTCGCCATTGTTTTTTTTGCACTCTTTTTTTCCTCCTCTTTCACCTTTAACTTTATCGAAACATTGCTGTTAAAGGCTTCAATTGTTAAAGCTAAGAAATAAAACCAAATATACATAAAAATTGGCCTAAGCATTTGTATGGTTGTAAAAATTTATTTTTGCTTTTTTTTTTTTTCCCACAACAGTAGAAGCTGTTTTTCCTTTTTTTTTTTTTTTGAAGCGATTTTCAAATTCAGGTTCCACTAGCAATCCAACAATTCCGCACATTCATTTCTTCCACTTTTTTAACCACTTCAACAATTGTCCAATTTAGTTGTTGTTTTACATTAAAAAAAAAAAAGAAAAAGCATTTCATTTTTTTCTTGCAACATCAGCAACAAAAACAGCAACAGCAATTGCAGTAGTGCTGTTAAGGATCAAAAAAGAAACAACATAGAATTATGCAATAAAGCCAATAGACCCCCCCCCCCAAAAAAAAAAAAAAAAAAAAAAAAAAAA